GCCAGCCAGAGCCGTTTTTTGCCCGATTTCGCCAGCATTTGGCGATTTCGCCAGCTTTCAGAAACACTGGTCCACGCCGCGCGGCCGCCTCGCTGGCGGCATCACCGCCACTCGTTGCCCTTGCATGCCCGCCTGGCTTAGGCAAAAAGAGCACCACATTTGCAAGCAGATTAATACGCACAACCGATTCCTTAGACATGAATGCTACCCAGATGCAAAATCATGCCACGATGCAAAACAAACTCGACAGGGCGAGGGAGTCAGCACACCACCCGAACCCGGCTGCACTGACTGCAGGTCCGGCAGGCACAGGACCAGGATGCGCTGGCTGAGCTCTGCGGGCATGCAGGCGTGGCCCCTTGCCTGACTGAGCGCCGCCGTCTGCAGCCGTGCACGCTGATCCTCTGCCGCACGAGCCAGCCCGCCGCCTCGGTCCAGGACGGCCGGCAGTGCGTTTGCCAGATCCCGGCAGGGAACAGGAAATGGACTGCCACTGCGCTTGGGTGAGCGGCAGGTGGGCCACCAGGTCGGCCCCAGGTGCTGCCATGCCCGCTCATCTCCCTGCCTGCCATCCACCGGCGTGCCATCCTGTGAATCACATGCAGCTTAATGCAACAAACAGGGTGGACATGCACGCTGGACAAGCAGGGGGAAATAACTGGGAAGTTTCCCAGTGGCCCACAGCGCGACCCGGTGCCGCAGCGCCCGCCTCAGGTCGCGCCTTGCTGCTGCTGCATCAGCTCCTCCTCAAACGCCAGGCTGCTCTCCTCCATCGCCTCCGCCAGCATCTCCGCGGTGAACACATCCTCGGGGCGCAGACCCAGCGCCTGCAAGCCACGAGGGCGGCGGCAGCGGCAGGTGGCCTGTTGGCTGGCCACTCGCCACGCTACATAGCTGGCCACCACTCCACAGCCGCAGCCGCCCGCCCCCACACCTTGTGGTAGTTCTCAATGGCGGCGTTGTAGTCCCCCTTGAGGTGGTGAGCATACCCCAGAGCGCTGTACGTGCCCGGCTGCACGCACGCACATGTGGGCAGCGAGTGGGAGGCGGCGGGGACAGTGGGGAAAGCAGGCCTCGCAAGCATGCAGCAAGGCAACCAGTCGGGCAGCTTGCAGTGCCTTGCAAAAGAAAGGCCTTGCTGTAGGCAGGTGGCGCCAGGCGGGCAGCGCACCTGGCCCGGCTTGAGGCCCAGCGCCTGCAGGTAGCACTCTATGGCGGCGTCCCACTGCCGCAGCTTGCGCAGCGTGTGCCCCAGGTTCACAAGGGTGGCCTCCCAGCCTGCGGCAGCAGCAGCAGCGAGATGGCGTCTGAATCACGATGTGGCTCGGGCACACAAGAGCATGGCAGGGGCGCACAAAAGCATATGCAGAAAAGCTGCCATGCAGTCGCTGCGGCTCCCCCTCCGCGCCAGCAGCAGCCCCGCATCGGCGGCACTCACTGGGCGTGGGCCGGCCGCCGGGCACCAGGCTGAGCGCGCGCCGCAGCCAGCCGGCGGCCACCTCGTACTGCCTGTTGCGGTACGCCAGCACACCCAGCTCGTTGGCCACCAGCGGGTCTGAGGGGCAAAGCCGGGCCGCCTGCGAGAAGCACTGCTCCGCCAGCCCCAGGTTGTTCATGCGCTGGTACTCCTGCCCCATGCCCATCAGCGGCGCGTGCAGCCCCGGGAACAGGCGGTGCGCGGTGCGGTAGGCGGCCATGGCCTGCACGGCCGGGTGGGGTGGGGGGTGGGGGTGGGGTTGTGGATGTGGTTGGGGTTGGCTCCCGCCGCACACACAGGCACCATCTTCTGTGCTGTCGTGAGGGAGCCGAGCCACCACACTTGTGCAGGCGAGCGGGGGCAAGCTGGAAGGGATGGGACGCGCGCCTCCCCGAGCCCCGCCCCACCCCAGGCGCCCCGCCCCGCCCGCACCTGGTCGCTCTCGTCCTGCGCGGCAAAGGCGTGCCCAAAGGCGACCCAGGCGGGTGCAAAGGCGCGGTCCAGGGCGGTGGCCTTGCCAAAGTAGCGCCGCGCCGCCTCGTACTGCTGGCTGCACATGTAGTAGCAGCCCACCGCAAACCAGGAGACGGCGCGGTCGGAGTGCTCCTCCACCAGCCTGCAGGAGGGTGGCGCGCAGGGGGGGCATCAGGCGCAGGCGGGAAGGGGTCAGAAGCACAGATGACACAGGGGGAACAAGTCAGCCGCGCAGCGTGGCGGCGGCGGCCGCACGGCAGGGCCCCTGGAAGGCTGCCGCAGCGCCCTGCCCACGACACCCCACAGCACACCCTACAGCACGCCCCAAGGCCGCCTACTTGTGCCCCTGTATGAACAGCTCGTTCTTCTTGCGCAGCTCCAGCGCCGAGGCCAGGTGCACGGGCAGGCACTCAGTGGCGTACGGGTCCCGCTCCAGCGCCGACGCCGTCAGCGTGTAGCACTCGGCGTATGCGCCCCTGCGCAGAGGGGAGGCAGGGGAGCGGGGGCAGGGTTGAGCGCGGCTGAGACTGGGAGGCAGGAGAGGGTGGTGGAATGTGTGGGGCCGGCGACAGACCCGCCTCCCAACCACAGCACAAGACATGAGAGCAGGGGCAGCGCCTGACACCACCGTCGCCCCGCCCCCGGCCTGCCTGGCACGCCCACACACCCGCGGTCCCCACCTGTGGTACAGCCACTCTGCTCTGCACGCTATGACATCCAGGTTGTCGTGCAGGCCCCAGCCAGCCGCTGCTGCCGCCGCCGCCTGCGGCGTGCTCTTCTCCTCCTCGTGCACAGGGCTGAGCGCCATGGGGGCGAGCCCCACCCCCGCCTTGCTGGGTGTCTGCATCGCCAGGCTGGCGCCGCCGCCGGCGCCTGCCGCTATTTGCTGCTGCCGGAAGTGGGGCTGCTGCTGCTGCTGCTGCTGCTGAGCTGGCGCCGCCTGGCGGTTGGGCGGCTCGTTCTCTAGCGCCTCCAGGGTCGCCTCCATGCTGCTGCCCTGCTCGTACTTCTTGCACCGGCTGGTGTACAGCAGCTTCAGCCAGCCCTGCGGGTGCGGGGCAGGCACAGGGTGGCAAGGTGTGATGGGTGGCGTGGCCATGTCTGCGGGCGACGCAGCATCGCTTCGCCCCCTCGCCCCTGCGATTGCGCCCCTATCCCCTGGCCGCACCCACACACACCAATCAACACACACGCACCTGCTGCGGCGGGATGTCAAGCGAGTTGACCAGCTCCAGCTCCTCGGCATTGCTCAGCTTGTGGCTGCCCACCAGCGCTTGGAAGGCCTGCAGGCACGGCACCGAAACAGGGGCCGGGGAGGGCAGCCGGCAGCCGTGGTGGGCAGCGAGCGAGCAGCGACGAACGCCTTCACGCAGCTTCGGCTCAGCAGCCGATCACGCTGCCAACGCAGGCCAACAACGATGGCGCCACCGGCAACAGGCATCGCAGTGCATGCCGGCAGTATGTTACCTCATAATTGAAGGGGTCTGCCTTCAGCGCTGCTTGGTACCACTTGACGGCCCGCGGGAAATTCTCCAGAGCGTCGTGCACCCGGCTGCAGGCACGGGGAGGTGGTGCGGGAAGGCGCAGGCGCTGTGGGCAGGCATCGCAAACACTGGCTGGCGCTACCAAGGTCCTGCCGGAGCTTGGCATGCGTGCTGCTTCCCACCCAACCCATTCCCTTCTTGCAACTGATCCAAAGCTCGTCGCTTGCCCACAACCGGCTCACGCACCCACGCAGCAAGCAGACGACTGAGAAGTAGTTGATGCCCGAACCGAGCGGCACTGTGGAGCGCGGCATGGGCAGCTGCAGCTGCTCCGGCTCCTCTGCGTCCAGCCCTCCCAGCACCGACAGGCACTCCTCCCACTCCTTGCACTCCGCCAGGCACCTGCATCCATCGGGAGCGGCCGTTCATTCTCCTCAACAACAGGGAGCAACAGGGGGGTAGGCGGCCGGGCAGGTGAATGCAACAGCGGGCGCCGAGGCACAGCGACATAGGCTTCGGCCTGGAGAAGAGCAGCATGCAGCCAACAGGGCACGCATACCGCTGCTCTGGCTGCCTGCACGCCACTGGCCGAGCTGGCTCTGCAGGCGGCAACGGCTTCTGCACACCCACCCGCCAGAGCGGCGGCGTGCCGCGGCACGACGCAGCCCGCCCGGCTGGCCCCCCCGGTACGCAAACCTGGCCCACCTGGCTGCCAGGTAGCGGAAGCGCAGGTCCTTCTCTATGAGCTCCGTGCTGCGCAGCAGCTGTAGGCAGCGGCGGAACTGGCGGCTGCAGAAGAACGCCTGCGCTAGAGTGTACACCTCGGCGGGCGAGTAGCCCGACAGCGTGACCAGCTTGTCGGCGAAGAAGGCGGCCGCCTCGTACATATGCTTGGCCAGGCAGTCGTGCACCACGCTCCTCAGCTGGCTCCAGGCGGCCGCCTGGCCTGGAGCCGCTTGGGCGTCGCTCATTTTGGTGTCGCCCAGGCCGCGGGGGCGCTGCGGCGATCTGGGCGAGGCGGTCACTTGATGAGCAGTGGCGATCGGCGGTAAATTGCTGCAAGACAGCTGTGTGCAAGCGGGACGGAGACTCGGGAAGGGGGCTGCTGCCAGGCGTCCCAGTCAGATGTGCAGTCTGGAGAGTGCACAGATCGATGCATCAAGCGGGGGTTGGTGACGCCCTGCTGCGTGCTGTGCCACTGGGGCAGGCCTCCCATGTGGCCCAAGGCGCGCCATTTAAGCCGCTGCGGGCCAATTTCCAGCAGCTGGGATCGACATGCAGTCTTGCCTCAGGCTGCAAGCGTCGCTCGCGTTGCAGCGTAGTGTCAAGGTCGCTCTGTGCAACCCTGCCACCCCTCGCGTGCTCCCAGCCGGTGCGCCAGCCAGGAGCGCCTCCAGGGCAGGCTCCATGACCGTGCAGGCCACGGCAGAGACCGCTACCAAGTGAGCGTCGGTGGCGGCGCCCGCCCCCGCCTTGCAGCAGCAAAGGGCCTTGAGATTGAGATGAGATGCAGCAGCCGCATTCACGATGCTGGCTGGAACCGCTTGTTCATGCTGTGCGCCTGTCCAGCTTCTACTACAGCACATGACCTCACCCCACCCCTCCCCCGCATCACGCCGTCACTACCCACTGCCACCGTCTGTTGTGCAGGTGGGCCAGCGCGGACACAAACCGCTCGTGCCGCGGCCGCTCCACCATGGGCGTCTTTGTCAACTCCAACGTCGACTCGGGCAACATCGACGTCGTGAACATAAGCAACCCGCTGGACCACGTGACGCATGAGCTGGAGCTCAAGGTGGGAGGGGAGTGTGCTGGGCTGGGCTGGGCTGGGCTGGGCTGGGCTGTGTTTGGCCGGTAGCTCAGCCTGATACCTCCGCATGCTGGGGCTCAAGGTGGGAGGGGCTGGCGGGGCTGGCCGGCAGCCCAGACAAATGCTTCTGCACGCAGAACGGATCCACGGCACCTCCTCCTTGCCGCCCACCCACCCGCCTGCCTGCCCCCCGGCGCTCTGCTCCCCGCCTGCCCCCACCACCACCCGCAGATCCACCCCGACCCCTACTGCGAGAGCGACAAGCGGGAGCACTTCCAGTGGTTCTACTTCCGCGTCTCCAACTGCGCCCAGGAGACGCTGAACGTGCGCATCACCAACGCGGGGCAGGCCTCCTACCCGCACGCCTGGTCCGGCTACAACGTGTGCGCCAGTTACGACAGGTGCGCGACGACTCGCAGGCAGGGTGCCCCTGGTGTGTACGCTGCCACTTCCACCCGCTTCGATCGTCTCACATGGTCGCCCTCCGCCCCGCCCTCCACCCCGCCCACCGCTGCGTGCCCTGCCGGCCCCACCACCTGCCCCGGCTCCCTCCGCCCCTCCCCCGGCAGGAAGGAGTGGTTCCGGGTGCCCACCACGTACGACAAGGAGGCGGGGGTGCTCCACTGGGCGCACACGCCCGCCAAGGGCGCCGTCTTCTACGCCTTCTTTGCGCCCTACACATACGAGCAGCACCAGAGCCTGGTGGCGGAGATGCAGTGCCACGAAAACGTCACGATGGAGATGCTGGTGGGTTGGGGGCTGATGGGGGCGGGGGGGGAGGTCTCTGCGGCCGAGCGCCCTGCGATTGCAGCCGTGCATGCTGATGGGGCTAGGATGGGCTACTGGGAGGGCTCGGGCACTGTTCCATTCAGCCCGCCTTTGCCCCCCCGCGCAAGCACGCCTCCCCCGTTTGTGTTTGCGGGATGCCAGGGCGAGACGCTGGATGGCCACGACCTGGACCTGCTGCGCATAGGGGAGGACACCGAGGAGAAGCGCAAGATCTGGGTGCTGGCGCGGCAGCACCCGGGAGAGAGCATGGCGGGTGCGAGGCCGGAGCGCGGTGCTGGCGATGGCGCTGGCTGGGGGCAGCCCGGGGCTGCGGATGCAGCCTGCCCAGCCCCTTCTTTGCTGCCTCGGCTGGCACGTAATCTTGCCCCGCCACCACGCCCTGCTCGGCCCTCCCAGTCACCCTTCTTGCTGCTGTACACCCGCCCTGCCCGCCGTACCGCAGAGTACTTTGTGGAGGGCCTGCTGCGGCGCCTGGTGGACCGCCACGACGCCACCTCCCGGGCCCTGCTGCAGCAATGCGTGTTCTACGTCGTGCCCTGCATGTGCCCAGACGGGGTGAGCCAGGGGCAAAGGCCGCGGCCGCTGGCACGCCGCCGCGGCGCCGCCGCCTGCTGCGATGCTCGGCCTCCTCCTTCCTCCCACCCCATTCCGGCTGGCTGTGGCCTCTTCACCTGGCATCCGATGCCTCCCTGGCTGGCCTAGCCCCCTCACCCCTCGCCCCCCGGCGCTCCCTGCTCCCCGCCCGTCGCCGCCGCCAGGTCTTCCGCGGCCACCTGCGAACCAACGCGGCGGGGGCCAACCTGAACCGGGAGTGGGCCAGCCCCAGCATGGAGGCCAGCCCCGAGGTGCTGCTGGTGCGCAACGAGATGGATGAGGTGGGGGTGGACTTCATGGTGGACGTGCACGGTGAGCTGGTGCAGGTAGTGCTGTGTGTGTGTGTGTGTGTGTGAGAGAGAGAGAGAGATTGTGCATCTAGAAGGGGGCTAGACAGGTTTCAGAAAGCATGGGGGCGTGGAGATCGAGCAGGCAGGCCTCGCCGGCTCCCGCCCCGCCGCGGGCCAGCCCTCAACCAGCCAGGCGTCGCTATCGAGGGACATTTGTGCCTGTGCCCGCTCACCTCCCCGCCCGCACGCGCCCCGCCTGCAGGCGACGAGGCCATGCCGTACAACTTCCTGGTCGGCAACAGCGGCATCCCGAGCTGGGACGAGCGCCTGGCGGGCCTGCAGGCCGACTTTGGGGCCGCCTTTGCCGCCGCCTCCCCAGACTTCCAGATCAAGTACGGATGTGAGTGGGCCGCCCCGCAGCGCACACACACACACACAGCAGGTCCTTGTGCTGGCTGCCCTCCGCCCGCACCACACACGGCTGCCGCCCTGCGGTTTCATGTGGCGCGACTCCAGCCTGGCACCGGTGCCTGTCCAGCGTTGTCTCATTGCAGCATCTGTTTTGTCTCCACTGCAGACCCGTCGGCCGCCGCCGGCAAGGCCAACCTCAGCATCTGCAGCAAGCAGGTGGGCCAGCTGGGCATGGCCGCCGCTTGCTGGCCTGCCACAGGGGCAGGCGCTGAGGCCCCCGCTGCGCTGCCGCTTCCGAGGCCCTCGTCGTGCCGCCGCCTGCAGGTGGGCGAGCGCTTCAACTGCCTGTCCTTTACCCTGGAGCAGCCTTTCAAGGACAACGCAGACCTGCCAGACCCGGAGCAGGCAAGCAGGCAGCCGGGAGGAGGAGGGGCAGGGGGCAGGCTTGCCGGCGGTAGCAAGCGCATGCTGCGGCACCGATGGTGACTGGGCGCGTTGGTGCTGGTGCCCTGCGGCAGGCAGGGCTGTGCCGTAGGGCACCTGGTTGTTACGCGCCTGGCTGCCCTCCCTCCATGCAGGGTTGGTCCCCAGAGCGGAGCCGGCGGCTGGGAGCTGCCATGCTGGAGGCGGTACTGGCGGTGGCCCCCAAGCTGCGCTGAGCCCTGACCCCTGGGATCTATTTCGTTCGCCGCCTGCGCGCGGCTGTACAACCAGCAACGAACCATCTGCTTCCCGGCCTTTAATTGATTCGAACTGCTGATCCCTCTGAAAATTTTCCATCTGTGATCAGTCGACTCCTCCCCCATTGTCTGGTTGGGCAGCGCTGGCAGCGGTGGGTCACAGGAGGCGCTTGGCAGGCAGGCGGGCACGGGAAGCTAGAGGGGCACGCTGGTGGGGCACGAAAGAATTGCATGCAGTGGATAGGAGGCGGCTGGCGCGGCGGCGGACAGGGCCATCGCCGTCGGGCCGGTGCTCCCTGCGCCGCTGGAGCTTGTCGCCTCGACGCCGGTGCTGTGGGTGTCGCCGCGTGTGGCGCAGCTGCCCCCGTGGAGTCCCAGCAGCGCCGAGGCGCCCACGGCGAGCACCAGCAGGTTGGCCCCCAGGGTGGCAGCTTCCAGCAGGCTGAGGCTGCCCAGGAAGTGCAGCAGCATCCGCAGGAGCAGGCCCGTGCGCCGTGACGGCGGCACGGCGCCGACGCTCCTGGAGTCCCCCGCGCACACAGTCGCAGTCACCTCCCCACCCTGGCGGCTGGTCTTCGCCGGGGCTGAGCGCTGGGCGTGTGCGCTGGTGCTGCATGCCGCGTCCAGCCTTGCTTGGGAGGCCGCTTGCAGCTGCCGCACGATGCTCGGCAGCTCTGCCGTGGCCGTGCGCTGCTGCCGTCCCCCACCTCGGCGGCGGCCGCTGCCGGGTGCCCTCTGCTGGGCCGTGGGCAGGGAGAAGCAGAGGGTCAAGGTCGCCGGGGTCTGATCACACATCCTGAACAGGCACGGCACTGTGAGCACCCCCAAAGCTGCCGTCGCCGCCGCTGTGGCTGCCGCTGGTGCCGCCCAGGACTGCCCTGCCTCTGGCCCCTGGCTCGTGCCCAGCAGCCTGTGGGGCCTGTACTTGTGCTGCTGCTGCCTCCCACGCCTCTCCTGGCCGGATAGGGCGAGCTCACTGGAGCTGGGGCCGAGCCTTGGCTGCCAGCAGCTCTGGACTAGGCTGAAACGACTGCCAGATCGTGCATGATGCAGGAGTGAGGCAAGGGGCAGCCTGCTGCCTCACAAATCAAATGAGGGAATGGCGGCAGGACCTTTCCTCCTGCCTCTCTTCCTTGCATCAGCTGATGCAAGAGAGCTCTGAAAGAGCTCTCTGAGAGAGCTCTCTGAAAGAGAGCTCTCTTTCAGCATTGTAAGCACTGTGGAGCTCACAGTGGCTGATAGTCCTTGCAGGCACGGCTGCCAGCAGGAAAGAGGAAGCCAGCGTCGCCCGCAACCGCAGCCGCCGCCCGCCGGAGCTCCTCCCGTGCGCTCGCCGGCAGCCGCAGGCCGCGCGCCACCGCCACGCACACATTGTCCTGCCGCTGCGTGCCCACTGCGAAGCAGCTGCCGCTGCCTGTGCCCAGCACGTGCGCCTTGAATGCCGTGACTGTGGCCCTGTCCTCCATGCTGTGCAGGTTGACCAGGAAGCAGCCGTGGCTGGGGTGCAGCGCGGATGCAACCAGCCGCGCAAACTCTGCAGGCAGGTGGAGGCATAATGAAACGGGAGTGGGCGGGCAGCTGGAGAGCACAGACTGCTCCCGGACAGGCAGGCAAGACAGCAACGAGGGCCGCACGCTGGTGGGTTGGGAAGCTGCACAGACGCGCCTGGCGTGCACAGCGTGGCGGGCACGTCGTCTGATCCGTCGTAAGCATCCATGAACACGAGGTCGTATGGAGGCTGGGCCTGCCCCTGATGCCCCCCGCAGCGCTCGCGCAGGAACGCCGCCGCATCGGCGGTGTGCAGCCTCAGGCTGGGCAGGGCGGCGGGGAGGCCCATGGCCCGGGTGGCTGCCGCCACCACAGCTGGGTCCAGCTCCACTGCATCCACGTCTGCACAACACGCCAGGGGCGGCAGGAGGGAGGGGTGCTGGGGTGCGGCCGACTGGGAGCAACGGGGGCATGAAAGGAAGGGAAAGGGCCCATTGCCGTGCACCAGGAAGCAGAGCGGCATGCATGGGGCAGCAGGGCTTCGCTCTCTCACCCATGCGCGGGAAGTGGTGCGACAGGAAGAGCGGCAGGCTGCCGCCGCCCACGCCGATGCACAGCGCACGCAGGCGGTGTGCCTTGCCATTGGCACCGCTGCCATTGCCGCCGCTGCTATGTGCGGGTTGGTGAGGCTCCAGCAGCCCCTGCAATCCCAGCAGGGCTGCCACCACTGAAGCGGCTGTCTTCAGATACTCCTGAGCCAGACAGGCGGCCTGCGCTTCAATGTGTGGCTGCTGCCGCTGCATGCCGTTCCTTGCTACTGCGCCTGATCCGGCTGCTGGCTGCACCCACACCCGAGCCACCGACTGCCGTGTGACGCCGTTGAACCGCAGCACGCGCCATTCTTCCCACCCGCCCTGGCTGGCGGCCGCCGCCTGCCCGGTAGCTGAAGCGGGATGGGCAGTGACGGTGACGTGCCCATTGCCGCACTCGCTGTCAGCAGCAAACACAACGACCCCTACAGGACAAGGGGAGCAGAATAAATTTCCCACACTGGTGCATTGCCCTGTGGCACAGGTGCAAATACACGGCCAAGCACTGCTCAAAAGTACACACCTGCATCCCGGCCCCACCCGCCATCCAGGTTGCCCCACCACTCGGGGCTTAAGTTCCAGTGTCCAGGGTCATCTCCTGTAGCCCCAAAGAGCTCTGCAAGGCCCTGCAGCGGGCCCTCAGCCTGTGGGCTGGCAGCCGGGCGGGGGCGCCTAACAGCTGCCGCCCACCGCCAGTGCTGCTCTCGCTGCCATGGCGCTACTCGTGCCCTGGGTTGCGAGATACCACCACCGCCATCAGGAAGAGGCTTCAGGTGCGGGGCTGAAGGGCGCACAGTCGCGATGCCGTGGGGCATGGCTGCTATTGCGGCGCAAGCTGAAGTTCACGCCAACTAGTTTCCCGACGAGTTAGAGCTGTGCAGGGCAAGATACTTTGTGCTTTGGATGCTGTGGTGGTGGCCGCCAGCGGTGCGCCGCACATGCCTGCCGCCAACAGATTACAAACCCTTGGTGCTGCCAAGATGCTGTTCCAAACTTGCTTCCTCAGTGAGTTCTGCTGCTGAGGCCATGCCTGCTCACACATTCGCGTAGTCACCCACACGCATCCCCACCGTCAGCCACACATTCTTCCAGGGACCCTGCTCCACCTTCTCTAAACAAAAGGTGAATGCCTGCCGCTGCTGCGTCGCGCTCGTCACCTCCACGGCGCACACAGCCTTGTTCATGTGCCGCTTGGATGGGAACACCAGCTGCGAGATGGGCTGCATTCGGGCGGGGCGCGGCGCACGGATTGCTGGTTGCTCAGTCAGCCAGCCAAACGCCATACGAGCATCGCATGGTCCAAAGCTTATGACCACTGCAGCTGTGCGTGCATCCTTAAGCCTGTGCACACGCAACAGCAGCCGGAGGCGTACGCTCACCTGCCATGCATCGCAATGGAGCAGCACGCCAAAGGGCGGCGAGTGCAGCTGGTTGGAGAAGTCGGCAAAGGCAAGCCACTCCTCACGCGCTGCCCAGCTGCGCACCCGCTGCGGGACCGCCTGCAGCGCACGGCAGCCGTGGGGCGCACTGTGGCGTCGGCCAGGCAGATGGCCTGCTTGCATGAGAAGCACTGGAGGCACCATGGAATGGCAGCCCCTGGCATGCATGCTGCACGAAATAACGCCGAACCGTGCGCACCGGCGCGGCGATCACATCCTCGGCGCCTTCTGGCTTCGTGAACAGGAAGGCGGTGCGCACGCCGGCGTCCTTCTCAGGATAGTCGTTCCGCTGCACGGGGAGAGAGGCAGGAGAGGCGGCAGCAGGTGATCAGGAGGCGGGCAGTGGGTGATCCGAGCGCTTGAGCCCCAGTCGCGTTCCAGACATTGCGGTCCACCCCTGCAGATTGGTTGGCTGAAGGATGCAGCCTGCCTCCCTCACACCCTGACCACACCCACCTGCAACGCGTTCATCTGCACAGCTATACATGTTGTTGGAGACATGAGGTGCGTGGGGCGGCTGGGCGGCATGGGCGCATCCACGCCCGCCTGGTTGATGAAAGACATGAAGTCAGAGGCTAGCGAAGTCTCCGAGCCTTCGTCGTCTGCTGCACCTGCTGCGGTAGCGGCAACCAGACGCCCCCGCCGCCACCGCCAACGCTGCTGTTGCTGCTGTCGCTGCAGCTGCCGCTGCACCCGACAGATGACCAGCATACCGCATCGTGCGGGACAAGCGGGGGCTGCTACGCTACTCAGACTCTGGCAGGCGACAGGCATGGCGAATGGGGGCGATGGCGTCGCTCAGAGAAGGTTGTGAGACGATCCAGCGCAGGGGATCTATGAGCAATGCCGAGACGGGCCGGGCAGCAATGGAAAATCCCACCTGGCACTTTCTTGGTCGATGGGCGGCCCCCCAAAAGGCTTGCAAGGCGCCATCCCACCTGAGCAGCTCGTACAGATCGCCAGAGGATCCAGGAGCCGACTAGCCGTGCTCAGCCATCCCACTCGAGGGTTTTGGTGTGCAGGAGCCCCGAACGGGCCAGCGGCAGTATGGCCGAGCACCAGGATCACCACTATGCAGAGGTGCGCGGCCTGTGGACCCCCAGGCAACCGGCCGTGCTTGCCCCGCATATGCTGGCTGCGCGTTCTGGGTTGTGGGCAGCTGGGAGGGCTCTCCGCGCAGCAGGACCCCATTACAAGGCGAACCAGCACGGCGGCAGCCGCCCAGCTGCTCCCTGCGCGCCGCCCGGCTGCTGCCGCCGCTGGTGGGCGCTGGGAGGCAAAGCCCGCTGCCTGGGGAGGCCTCCTTCTCTCCTGCGCCTTCCTGCGCACCCACCCCCGACGCTCGCCCCTCCCCTCCCCCTGCAGGACTACCCGCTCCAGCCGCTGGTGGACGACTGCCGCCTGCTGGGCAGCCTGCTAGACGACTGCCTGCGCATCGAGGTCGGCGATGAGCTCTTCCACAAGGTGAGGCGGGGCGGCGTGCCTGGGCTCATCCGTGTGCTGGCTGCTGGCCATCTTGCCTTGGAATGCAGGGAACTGGCAGGTCGCGCAGCCCGGGGCTGATGGGCTGCCTGCACCAGCCCGGCCGCCGAACCGTCCCAATCGCTGCCCGGTTCCGTGCCTGGCCGCCGCCCGCAGATTGAGCGCATCCGCACGCTGTCCGATTGCGCCCAGCAGCTGAACTCGGCGCACGACAAGGAGGCGGGGCGGTTCCTGGGGCAGGCGCGCCGCCGCCGCCGTTTGCAGCCAGCCGCCGCCGCTCGCGCCGCCGCCCGTGCGTGCCGCTGGCCGGCTGCGGGGGGCTGCACTGCCAGGGTGCAGCGCTGTGCTCGCCTTGCTGCATGCTGCTTCGCGCGCGCCGGCGATCGTGCTGCGACCGTGCTGTGCCACGCTGTGCCACGCTCTGCCGGCCTGCAGAAGATGGCTGAGGAGCTGTTTGCGCTGCCGCTGGATGAGGCCATGCCCATCCTGCGCGCATACGGCCACTACCTCAAGTGAGCCCGGCCGGGGCTGGCAGCGGCAGCGGCCTGCCCGCAGCGCTGCGGAGCGCCGCCGCCCGCCGCCGCCTGAAACCGTCCTCACCCGCTGCGCATCCCGCCCCTGCCCCCGCCTGCTCACGTGCACCTCCCCTGCCCCACCGCAGCCTGACCAGCATCGCGGAGCAGCACCACAGCGTGCGCACGTCGCGCATGGACGGTGTGCCCATCAAGACCGTGGACGAAGTGTTTCACGACCTGCTGGAGAGCGGGGTCAGCGAGGAGCAGCTGTACGAGTCGGTGACGCGGCAGCACGTGGAGATTGTGCTGACCGCGCACCCCACGCAGGTCGGGCGGCGGCGGCGGCTGCGGCTGGGCTGGGTGGGCTGGGTGCTGGGCCCGAGGGAGGCGCGGCGCACTGCATCCGGAAGGGGAGAGAGCGGCTGCCTGCCGGCCGCCTCACGGCGAAGCTGCCGCGCTTGCTCGCCTGCTGCTAACTGCCGAGCCGCGGGCGCGTGCCCTTGCGCAGGTCAACCGCCGCACGCTGCAGCACAAGCACAGCCGCATCGCGGCGCTGCTGACGCAGAACGACCGGCAGGATTTGACGCAGGAGGAGCGGGACCACACGATCGAGGAGCTGATCAGGTGAGGGAGGGGAGGAAAGGACGGGGTGGCTGTCTGGCTTCCCAGCTGTCTGGCTGCCCAGCCACCTGCGCTGCTGTGTTACCGCGCCCCGGCGGGCCCTTGCCTGCGCCCCTCTGCGCTGCAGGGAGATCACCTCTCTGTGGCAGACCGAGGAGCTGCGGCGCCGCAAGCCCACGCCGCTGGACGGTGAGCGCCGGCCCGCCGCCGCCCCGCCGCCTGCGGCCGTCTGTGCCAGGCGCGCTGCCAGCCTGCCAGCAAGCACGCGACCGCCCCACCTGCCTCGCCCACCTTGCGCGCCTCCTCGCCTGCCTGCCCCGCCCGCAGAGGCGCGCGGCGGGCTGCACATTGTGGAGCAGAGCCTGTGGTCCTCCCTGCCCAAGCTGCTGCGCCGCATCTCAGGTGAGGCTGATGAGCCTGCTCCACCAGTGCTGAGCCTGATGAGGCGGGGCGTGGCGGCATGGCGCGCGGCCGTCCGGGCGTGGCGAGCAGTCAGCCGTGGACGCGTGGGCAGGCCTCCAGCTACACCTGCATCAACGTCACCCCCCACCAACACCCACCCACCAACACAGCCTCCGCCTGTGCTCCACACCTGTCCTCTGCCCCGCTGCTGATAAATCCACCCGCAGGCATGCTGAAGAAGCACACGGGGCGAGAGCTGCCCATCGACGCCTGCCCCATCCGCTTTGGATCCTGAATGGGCGGCGACCGAGACGGCAACCCAAACGTCACCGCCAAGGCGAGCCGGCTGCTTTGCCGGCCCGCCTGCCTGCGTGCGTGCACGTGCCTTGCCTGCCTGCCTGCACGCCTGCCTGCCTGCCTGCCTGCCTGCCTGTCTGGCTGCCTGCCTGCACGCCTGGCGCCCAGCAACAGTGCCTTCCGGGATGCTGCTGCCTGCTGCACCCAGGCCAGCCACGGCCAGCCAGCAGGCCCCGCCTTTGCCCGGCGTTGCCGCCGTGCACCCGCGCCTGCATCCTGCCCCCGCGCCCGGCCCTCCCTCCCTCCCGCCCAACCCACACGCAAAATCGCCCCGTCGCCACCCGCCCGCGCCGCAGACCACGCACGACGTGGGCTGCCTGTCCCGCTGGATGGCTGCCGACCTGTACCTCAAAGAGGTGGGATGCCCTGCGCTTTGAGCTGTCCATGAACCACGCGTCAGACGAGGTGCGCCGGATGCAAGGAAGCGGCGGCGGCGCGGGCGGCCAAGCTGGGGCGTGGCGCCGTAGGAGGCGGCGTGGATGTGGGGGCATGGAGAGCATGCTCAGCCTGCTGCCAGCTGCCTGGCGCCTTTGCGCGGCGCCCTCGCGCGAGCGGCGCCTGACCCCCCAAACCCTTCCCGAGGCCCCCTGCGGCCCCCGCCCCCCCAAACACACACACACACACACAGGTGCTCAACCTAGCCCACGACATTGCCAGCCGCCACCCGCACAACCACCCTGGCGTCGAGGCCGGCGCGCCGCGCCCCTCCTCGGCCTACCGCCCCGCCGCCGCCGGCGACGGCCTGCAGGGCTCCGCCAGCAACCAGGAGCTGGTGGGGCGGGGCGTGGAGGTGACGTTTGGCGACCTCAAGACGTGAGAGCGGCATCGCCGCCGCCGCCGGGGCAGGATGCAGCCCGGAGGCCGGCGCCCATGCCTGCTGGTGCAAGCGGCGGCATGCGCTGCGGGGCAGAGGGGATGGAGAGGGGAGGGCGGGGGATGGTGGTGGTGGGGCTGGGCGCGGGCAGCGGGCACGCCCACCGGCCATCCCCACATGAGACTGCACTGGCAGGCTGGGCAGGCGACGCGGGCCGCGCCGCTGCACCTGCCTCCCTGCCTGCCCGCCTACCTGCCCGCCTGCCCGCCTACCTGCCTGCCTGCCTGCCTGCCTGCCTGCCTGCCTGCCCGCGTGCCTGCTTTCTTTGCAGGGAGGAGCTGATGAGTCCGCCGGGCATCGCCTCCCCCGTGGCTGGCGGTGAGGGCCCGCCCTTTCTCGCGCTGCTGCCGTGCTCCTCTTGCTCTGCACGCAGCCCCGACCCCACGCTGCGCCCTGCCCCAAGCCGCTCCCCGCCCGCTGCCCGCCCGCCAAGCTGCCCTCAGCACCTGCTCCCGCCTGCCGCGCCGCCGCCGCCGCAGGCCCCTCCAGCCCACGCGCGCAGTGGCCCCAGATGCGGGGCAGCCTGGCCGACGCCGCTGCCAATGCGATGATGAAGGGCTCCCCCCGCGGCGTCACCCCCGCCACCTCGGGATCCGCCCTGGCGCAGCAGGCGTTTGCGCCGGGGCCCGCGGCCACCGCCGCCGCCGCCGCCGCCGCGGGCGGGCCGGCCGCCGCCGCCATGGCCAAACTGCAGAAGCTGCACCTGCCGCCGGGAGTGGCGGCCTCGGGCCTGGGCCCCGCCCCTGCCCCGCCCATCCCCAACCAGGGTGAGCCTCCCCTGCCACCCTCCGCCGCCCTCCGCCTGCCGTCGCCGCCGCGGCCGCTCTGCTAGTGAGCCAACGGCATGGCGCCTCATCCGTGCCCCGCGGTCAGCTGCCCCTGCCGCCAGCCAGCACAGCGCCTGCCATGCCTCCGCAGCCCAACGCTGCCGTCGCCCGCCAGCCCACCCGCCCCGCCCCGCCGCCTGCTGCCGCCGCAGGCCTGCAGCGCACCGACACCGCCGGCAGGCTCCTGTCGCCTCGCTCCCTCAAGCAGCGCGGCCTGCAGGCACGGCGCCGCCGCCCCCGCCGCCGCCGCTGTGTTGGGCCGCCGCCGGCGGGCTGCATGCTGCTCCTGCTCGGCACGCCCACCTCACACCACAGCTTTCCCTCAACTCGTGCCCACCTTCTCACCCGCTTGCGGCCACCCGCCACACCACCAACCACCCAGCCGCCGCCAGCACCCTGCGCTGCCTGCCCCACCCCCTCCTCCTCCCCCTCCTCCTCCCCCACCACAGGCCGCCTCCTTCCACAAGACTTCGATCGACAACCTGCTGCACCCGCGCGGCGCGGGCGGCAACCCGTACCGCATCGTACTGGGCGAGGTGCGGCAGCGCCTGGTGGCGACGCGGCGGCGCATGGAGGAGCTGCTGGCGGGGCACGTGCCCGACTCGGACGCAGGTG